CCTCTTCTCCATAGATCCCTGAGCCTTCAGGATAGTGATTTGGTGAAGACATTTAGGACTGAGTGCTCCAACACTCTCTGTATATTGTTCAGTTGTGAGTCTCTGTATTAATTCCCTTCCACTACAAGAAACTTCTCTGGTGTGGGTTAAGCAAGGCACTGATCTATACTTGGGTGTAGGAGTAATTTTATTGTTATATTCCTTTAGTAGAATAATAATATTAGGTTTGGAAATTGTTGTAGGGTATTTGATCCCATTGTAAACCCAGGGATTATGAACTGGACAAGCCTATTTCTTGTGTTGTGGCTCAGCCCTAGCACACACCTTTAATCTGAGAATTTTCTGTTTATTGTAAACAAACGGTTGTGTTGTGGCTCAACCCTAGCACACTCCTTTTTTATTTATTTTTTGTTTGTTTTGATTTATTTTATTTTGTTTTTTATTTTTTTTTGAGACAGGGTTTCTCTGTGTAGTCTTGGCTGCACCACCTTTAATCTAAGAACTCTCTGTTAACAGGATTGAGTAAAGTTAACCTTAAGTCAAGAGGGAAGCAACCAGTTGACAGGAAATGAACATGAGGAAAACAAAACAAAAAAAACAAAAAACCAGAGAATGAGAGGAAGTCCATAGGAAAGAAACACAGGAAGTAGAAAGGAGGGATGTTCAGTTTGAAGTGTTTCTAAGATGGCATGGAGAAGGAAAATGAGATTTTTCCTTTTGGAGTGTCAGCTGAGTACTTTCATTGTCTTTCTGAGCTAGCAAATTTTCATGTCTGTTTCTGGCTACTGAGTCTTCATTGGTAAAATAAAATGATTGGGATTTTGTTTTTAAAACAGGAAATTATTATTATTGTTGTTTGTTTTTTCATAATAATGATCATCATCATCATCATAATAATAATAATTATTATTATTGGTTGTTGTTGTGGTTTGGTTGTATGGCCCTGGCTGTCCTATAACTCACTCAATAGACTAGGCTGAGCTTGAACTCACAAGACATCTGCCTGCCTCTACCTTCCCTGTGCCACCACTGTTGGGCAGAAATTCTTTTTAAAGAGAACTTGAATAAGACAGTGGCTCAAGCAGTGTGAAAAAGAGAAGAAATTTTGGATATTTTAAGAAATACTAGGTTAAGAATCTCAGTAACAGAACAGAATACTATTTGAGGGACCATGAAAAAAAAAAAAAGCAAATTATCATGTTCATGTTCTTGAATGAAAACATGAGTTACTTTTACCCTTCAAATCTCTATCTTCTTTGAAAAGTTTCTAACATACTGAAAGCACATTTTGTTGAGGCATATAAGGGGCCCCTCAGGGTTAAAGGACTACAGATGTTTATAATCCATTCTTGTTTTCTGCTACAAACCTATGCAGTTATTGCTATTTTCTTTTCTCGTAAGTATGAAAAATGAGTTCTGAATTTCTACTTGAGAAGCTATTTATTTCAGGTCATAGATGATAATCCTGTTGACAGAAAAAGAAACAAGGATGCATAAGTCAGAAGTTGGGGACCATGCTTTCAAATGTCCAGGTCAAAGTTACCTAACGGAATTGTTATGTGTTTTTTTTTTTTTTTTTACTATTTTATCTCATTTTTTTAAAATTAATATTTTGGTATCACTGATGTTTTGCTTTTTGGTGGTTAAAAGTCAAGTATTATAATATTATGCTATTTTATTAATAGTTTTGATGACCCATGTCAATTGCTCATTCTTTGATGATTCTAATTCTGACATTTTTAAAGGTTATAGAAGAAAAGGCACTGGCCAGAAGTCAGTCACTAGGTACCAGTCCTTGACTTGCTTCTGCGGACATAGGACACTACATTCAGCCTTTTAATGTCTACAAGTCTCCAGCTTACCCATCTGTCCAGTAAGAACTTGGGCAGGAACCTACAGTGAAGAAAAGACATTCTTCAAGATAAAACGAAAGTAATTCCAGATGGAAAGAAGAAATGAAGAGTAATGGAAACAAACATAAAAGCAATTATAATATATGTAGTCATAATTTAACACTGATTATATAAAATAACTGTCAGATACAGCTATATACAACTATGATATTCTAAATGGGATACGGCAAAGGAAACAAAAGTATTCTGAACTTTTTGCATTGACCAAAAAAAAATGGTCTTGTAATTTGCAGGGAAGCTCCTAAAAGAAGATGCATTGTAAGTTTGTGTGTTTGGAGTGAGTGTATGGCATAACAAAACACTACTCAAATATATTTTAAAGAAAGCAAGAATGGAGAAAGGAAGAAAGGATCATTAATAGAAAAATATATATTTAAAACTATACATCAGAGGTACAATAAGTGCTCTAATGAGAAGGCAAAGACTTTCAGACTGAATAACAGCTCTATGTGTTTACAAGAGGAACATCCAAAAATTATGGAACAGAAGATTAGAAATAAGACTGACAAAGACTTTCTCAGGAATATTTTTTTAATATTTTATTTATTTATTTTATGTATATCAGTGTTCTATCTGAAGAGGACATCAGATTTCAGTATAGATGGTTGTGAGCCACCATGTGGTTGCCGAGAATTGAACTCAGGGCCTCTGGGGAAGCAGACAGTGCTCTTATCCACTGAGCCATCTCTCCGGCCCTCTCAGGAATATTTTTATCGTCATAGATTTTTCACACACTTTATAATGTACTTTGATTTATGGAAATTAAACACTGATACAATTATAAAGAAATAGGAAACTCACATGCATTGTGGGAATATTTTATTCACAGCTCAATGATTGATAGAACAAGCAAATATTTTTCAATAGAAAAACAAGATTTGAACATGATCAAAACCTTCGCTAAAAACCTGACAAACTACAAACTTGTTTATAAAACTTGGCTTCTATGTTACATTTAGAGTAGCTCAGAGTTTACATCTTTTTAAAATTTATGTAGCATTTAAAAAAATGAAAGAGCATAAACTGAGCCATATATCATGTCTCAAAAATTTCAGAGTGATAGCATGCAGAGCACATTATAGTAAGAAATTGGTTGAGTTTATAATGTAAGACCTTGCTACAGAGAAGTACAAGTGACTACATAGTAAATTTTATCTTACCTGACAGTTTGTGTGTGTGTGTGTGTGTGTATGTTGACCACGATTTTCTTGACTTGTGGAATACAAGTTTCTACAGTGCAGAAGGCCAGCTGGGATCCCCTGAGGCCTTCTCTTAACAAACATTCTTCCTTTACTTAGCCAACATGAAAAATAAAAATAAAAAGAAAGAAAGATGATGTCCATTCTAGGGCAGGGTAGCAGAAATTAATGTTCTTCTTAAAAATCCAAAGGAGAGAGAGAGTAGGACAGAATTTGATGTCAAGTATCTTTTGCATTTGTTCCTCACCTTAGTTTTTGTCAAAGATTTGTTTATTCTTATTTTATGTGTGCATGTAAGTACTTGCATATAGATAAGTGTACTACAAGCATGGGATGCCCTTGGAGGCCAGAAGAAGGCATTGCATTCCTGGAACTGAAGTTACAGGTTGTTGTGAGCTCTTACATGGTTGCTGAAAACCAAACCTGAGTCTCTGATTGAATCTCGAGTTCACCAATTCAGCTAGACTTGCTAGCCAGTGAGCCGCAGTTTTTCTGTGTCTACCTCTTCATCTAACGGATCACAGGTGTATAATGGAACCATTTTTTTTTTTTGAACATCTGAGTACCTCGCAGAAATCCTGTGATCCACTGCACTGATGACCCTAAGGTGCTGTAGCTGGAGGTGCCAGAGATGCTCCTTGCCAGTATGCTGGTGGCATTGAAAAGATGCATGTGCTCAAGAGGACAGGGGATAAGCTCCACGATGATTCAAAAACCCACTATTTCTGTACACCAGCTGTTGGCTGCTTTATAGCTATTCTCAATGGGGTCTTGAAAGAGTGGCAGTGGAAAAGTTTTCTGAGGCAGATCTCTGGGCATCTACCTTGCATGGAAGAAATGATGGGAGTGCATAAGTAGCTGGAAATGGTCTAGCTAGTTGTCCAGAAATTTGAACATTCTAAAACAAATAAATACTTCATGTTAAGATTTTTTTTTGTACACACTTTTAGTACCTACATCTACAAGCATCTACAACAGAGGCCACACTGGCCATCCAAGCAAGCAAATAATAATGGAGCCATGAGCAGAGGGCACACAATGGTAGTGATGAAGGCAGCATATGGGCCAGAAGCCTAGGTTTCTACTGATCATGGCCAATTTCATAATGCCCTGGTTGATACCCAGGCTGATTGAAGCAGAATCCAGTGTTGAGCCCCTGATATGACCCTATTCCTTTAAGAAACCAATCATCCACTTTATGGAAAGCTGACTACAAAGGCCCCTTTTATTCCACCCTTGTGGGTTTATTCCTTTAGGAATAGAGACCTTATGGTTTTCATTTTTAAAAAACAAAAACAACCAAACAACAACAAAAAACTAGACCCTCAGCACCACACTGCATGTGCAACCCATAGGCAAAGGTCCCATAAAATACTATCATTCAAAGAACAGGCTCATGCTCCCATGAAGAAATCTCAGTTAACAGTAAACAGGCATAGAAAAGTTACTGTTACTGTTTCTTATTTATGGGATAAAAACAAACCAGCAAATTTAATAACGATTAGAAGGGAAAAGGAGAGATGCAGGTCAAACAAAGGTAATTTAGTATATTTGGGGTGCCGGTGACAATGAACTTTGGGAAGATAAGATGGTAGGGAAGGGATCATTTTTACCAGGTAGATAAGCAACTTGGTTGAGGTGGCATGGCCTGTGGGTAGCCAGAACTGAAGTTTCTCACTCTGAAAGCTGGGCTTTGGCTGTTGATGCTGTTCTAGAGACATTGTCATACAAGTGTTTCTGTGTATACACTTTCTCTTTCAGATTCCACTGGGTGGCAAGTAACCAGGCTTCCTACCCACCCCCACTCTTTCACCTTCACCTTTGTGCTCAGTGATTTCCTTTTGGAATGACTTAGAGTTCACCACAATAACCCACAACGCTCTCTGCATTTTATAGACATCATTTTTGTTTATATCATCTTTTATTAAAATCCATAAATAAAGTTCATATATTTAACCATTTTAGAATATTTCTTATGATTAAAAATACTTGCTTCTCTAATTTCCAACATTACAACATGAGAAGTAAGGCATACAGCTTCATTCTTGCATTTGAAAACTCAGTTATGGTAAAATAAATAACCTCAGAATCGCAGGGAAGGAATTACTAGGCAAGAGGGTGAATTAATAATGTTGACATAGTTTAACAGTATTACTAATCTGTCTTTTAATGTACAAGTTGGGCAGATTGAAAAATTCTGATCTAAAGGATTACTAAGAGGTGAGATGAGTCCACTCGCTCGCTTTATCCCTGGGTATTTTTCTGCTGTCTAACATTCTTCTTTCATGTCTTGAGTCGTTTGCTGAGCAGCGCATGCTGATCTGAGCATACACCATTTCTCTTTCTGCTGTGGCTTTCTCTAGACTCCGTGGCGCTATGGTTGGGTAAGTCCATGTGAACTTCCTTAGACATCTGCAAAGACAGGGTCACAAAACTCCCGTGGATGTCCACCTTTTTAATCACCCAACCTCATTCTGACCCAATAGGACACCCCACCCCCAAGAAAACACCAAGCATTTGAAACATGATGTCAATATGAGCTCTGAGACTCCAGGGCAAAATTTTACACCTGTGCAACAGCTCAACCAACGTCAGGATGGTGATTCCCTGCAGTGAACTCTTGGTTTTGCAAGATCCTGGTCAGTGCTGTGTGAATCCATTTTGTAGCTGTGATTCTGACCCAGATTTGATAAACTATTCCTGCACTTTTGATAATAATGGATCCCTATGACTGGATTGTGTTGTGTGAAGAGACAGAGGGCATCTTGTTAGAAATAATTTGTTTTCATTCAGACACCCCAATTTTTTTATTGTTGTTTTTGGTTTTATTTTGTTTTGTTTTAAACCCTGAAAAGGTCTTTGCTGACTGCACTGGCTGTTCAGCAGGCCCTGGGCACTGAATGTTCCCTTGCCATCTAAGCTAGAAACAAATACCGAATTATGCAACAAGGTTTTACTTTTCTATTTCTAGGCTGGGGTGCTCTTTCTCACACCATGGGAGGCTCAGGAAGAGAATGGAAAAGCCCTCTGCTGGAAGGGCATCAAGAATAGAAACTAGGCCACTCACTGCAGTGATTCCCCAGGCCACCGGCTGCTGTGGAAGCTTCCATGTTAGCTCATTTCAGAAACAATTTTTGATGTTTCAGAGAATCATGTTGCTAAGGCTTTTAGAGATGATGAAGAGCATTGTGGGAGCTGAAGTGCATTGTGGGAACCAGAGGTGACTGCAGATGGCTTTCTGAGCCAACAAGAGAAAGCTTAGGCCATTTCGTAATCTCCCCATATTTGAATGTTGTCTTTATAGTCAGAGAGAAACCCTTTGCTTTTATTTATATTTTTATATGAGCATAAACCAGTGAGAATGGATATTTGGTTTCATTTCTTGTAAATGATATGCTACCAGCTCCGGAAATTTAATTGTAAACTCACAATTGCAAAGATAATCCAACCTTAGCACAAGCTGCTTTGTTCTAACGGTCACTGTACATTAAAACAATGTAATCCCCAATGCTTGACGCTTTTCCCCTACATGCTAAGTGGCCACCTCTCACCTTTGTTCTGCAAGCTGGGTTCTCAGAGATCATACTGTCACTCTTGGATTCCATGACTTCTAAAACTAAATCAAAGAAGATATAGAGAAGTTAGACCAACATAATTTAAAAAAAATTGTCTAGGAATATCATTCATAAGGACTAGAAAAAAAAAGGCGTATAATGTCTTTAACAAATATTACTGTGAACTTGCATTTTTCCAGAATTTGTTTATTACCATTTATGTGTGTGGGTGTTTTTCTTTCATGTATGTCTGTGTACCATGTGCATGCCTGGTGCCCTTAGAGGCCAGAGGGTGATGGTGGAACTGGAGTTACAGATGGTTATAAGCTACTGTGTAGGTGCTGGGAATTGAACCCTGGTCCTTTGGAAAGGAGGTTAGTGCTCTTTACTGCTGAGCCATCTCCCCAGCTGTAGTTTACATTTGTTCGTGGCACCAAGCCTGTTTAACTGTGTCTGGTTCACATAGTCATTTCCTCTGGGCTGCACAAAATATCGCTCAGTTCAATCTGTGTTGGATCAGACTTGGTGACAGTGCATTCTGCCTTGCATTCTTACACATGGTGCTGCAGGGTCACAGGGCACACCAGCCTGGGAGGGTGGGTGATAGGTTTGGGGGTGAGCATGCTCTTTGAGTCCAAAGAGATCCCACTGTGAACAACAGGTTGATGTAGAAGTTTCCAAACATTAATGATGTGTTGACTCGTGACTTCTTGTCACATCTTAATCCCAATGGTTGAGAACCAACTAGAGCGGTTGAATACATATCTATACAATACAAATTAAATAAAACCATAATAAAATAGGCTAATATTTAAATAGTTCAAAGATTTCAACACAGTTTCCCAGTGTTTATTTACTTTTCAATATAAGTTACGTTCATAACAGAAAAATAATTAATTCAGTTGATACTATGAATGAATGGAAGATAAAAACCCTATGATGGGCCAGATCTCTAAATGAAAAATGAAATAAACATAAATAGATAATAAAGACATTAATAAACCTGATGTGGTGGTGCAAGCCTGTAATCCCAGCACTCTGGGTGGCAGACGCGGGTGGATCTCTGTGAGTTCAAGGCCAGCCTAGTTCACAAAATGAGTCCAGGACAGTCAAAACTACACAGAGAAACCTTGTCTTAAAAAAAGAAAAGAAAAGAAAAAAAAAAAAACACTTTAATATTTGAAGTGCTCTTGAAAATGTAGAGGAAAAAAAATCCAAAGTGAAATATTTCAGCATATGGTCAAAAAACCATTGATCTATATCTTGAAATTTTTATTAAAAAAAAAAGTCTTTTGTCTCCTTGGTTTTGTTTTGTTTGAGTCAAGGTCTTGCTGTGAAGCGCAGGCTGACATTGAATCTATTCTTAATGCCTTGTCACCTGAACAGTAGCTAGGCTCATGGCTGTACACTCCCAGAGCAGGTTGTCACATTATCTGCATGGTTCAAGGCTGAAACTATGTAGAGTTAGTGGTGAGAGGCACAGTATAGACATACAGTTTTTTAAAAAACCCTGGGTACTGTCTAAAGGGAAGAGAAGCGACTAACCAAGCAGGGTGAAATAGGTGTTATGGCATACACCTGTAATCTCAGCATTTGCAAGGATGAAGCAGCTCTTGAATGGAAGGCTAGTCTTGGGCTACACAGCAAGACCTTGTCTAAGAAGCAAAACGAACAACAAACACCCCTTTCCAACTAAGCAATAACAGCAATGTGCTAATTTACTAAAAACTTATGTTTTGTGTTGTATGAATATAAACGAAAAATTGATTTAACCAAGAGTTCATGTAGTTTATTTTTGCAGCTTTCTGATTCTAGTTTGAAGGGGAAGTTATCCTTCCCTCCCCCTCCCCCCCGTGCTCCATGTCCCTGGTGAATAGGGGGTCAGGGAATGATATGGGGGGAGCTTGGGAGAAAAGGGAGAGGCATCTTTGAGATTGTGGACCAACCTGTTAAAATGGCATCAAGGTGGCCCACCATGAACTTGGCGTCTTCTTCTGTGAAGCACATGGGTGGTTTTATTTTTAGCACATTCCTATGAGGGCCGTCGGCACTGAGAAGTACTCCTTTATCTTTCATCCTAATCAGTGCAGAAAATGAAAGGCCGTGAGCATACGCAAAGGGCCGTGAACACATAGTGCACTCATGTGTCTGCACCGGAAAAGGCCAGGAAAAGTCTTAGGGTCTCCATTTCAGAGAGAATGAGAGGGTGCGAATCAGGTGCTCGAGGGGCCAGGGCAGCGAAGACAGGTGAGGTGAGCTTACTTGTAGATGACGTGCTGCGCTTCAGCTGTTGCAGGTGTTCTTTTCTCCTGGTCCTTCACCAAATCAATGCCGATGAAGAGGCCAGCACCCCTGAGGAAGAGGAGAGAGTCCACATGTGCGCTCTGTGCCTGGCACTGTCACCAAACGACATTTAACATGAAGCCGAGTGTGACGTCGTTCGAGTGGAAACGTGACTGATTTTTAACTAAGTCAGGGTATCAAGCCAGTTGCATTGAATGTTTGAAACAGGCTTTTTCATCAAGGATTCCCCCCGCCATCACTTGATTTTACAAGAGAATAGTACTTTAACACGGTCACACGCATGTCCATGGGAGTAGGGAACATATATGTGCACAGGCACATGTGTTCACGCGCCCCTGGCGGGAAGAGACCAACCTCAGTGGTGTTGGTCAGGTGTCATCCCTCTTATGTTCACCCTGCGCCTCTCCCTGGCCTGAAACTTGCTGGTTGGGGTGGCCTGCCCACTTCACGCAGGTTCCAAAGACCAAGTCAGGTCTTTCCCCGCTGAGCAATCTCCCCAGCTCTCCAAACAACACTTGATACCGTTTAATCTGTCAGGGTATTCACGACTGCAAGTTTTCAATAACTGTCTATGAAAAACACCCGCTGTTGAGATATCGTTTTCCCACATTATCCACAGGTCATTGAGAGTCATCTTATTTTCCTTCTTTCTATCTCTTGGACTTAAAACGATCCTGCAGAAGAAAACCTACAAATGTGACAAATGTTACTAGGGTAGTTCCTGAGTCCTGGACTAAAAGTGATCTTTGTTCTCTCTGCTTCTCAGTGTTTTGCGTATTTTGGTTCAAGTTTGCAAGGTGAAATACGAGCTGTTCTGCTCAGGAAAAACAAACGAGTACCTGATGCTCGGTCAACACACCTGACATCCCCTATCAAAGGATGCTTGGCCTTCTGCTCATTCAGCAACTCAGTGAGATAATCTCCCACTCTGACAGCATTTCCTTGAAGATTTTCGTTCTCGATTATATCCAGCACAGCCAAACCAACCGCACAAGACACGGGATTTCCTCCATACTACAGACAGAGATGAGAAAACAACAATGGAATTAGTGGTATTGCTCCATTCACGAGAAATTTGGCACTCAACATAGGTCTGGAAGACCAAAAAATATTTTAATATCTTCACTAGTCCCCACAAAAGTATATGTTATCAAAGATATAAATGTCTAACACATATGTAAAAATATCATTTTAACTGAATTTTTTTTGTAATACAAATCTTTTCAGACTTAGAAGACAGATGGCTTTATTTCTTGGGACTGAGTGAAAATTTACTCCTGGTTATATTCTCCAGGCTATGCAGCTACTATGAGGGATTATAAGGAACTTATTTGTTCGTCTAAACAACAGAAGTAAGTACTATATTGTGAGTTAAAGATTCTGAAGTGTTGGTTCAGCAAGGGAAATAAGTGTTTCTGACCTTAAAGACCCGAGTGAAAACAGCTAAGCAATAGTTTCTCTGAAAATACTCTGAGATTTGACTCTTGCTTTTGTCCGCAACACTTGCCACTGCTGCGCACACTACAGGAACTCTTCTAAGGCTACAAAGCTTATTACTTTGGGGAATAAAGCCAAGAAATAAAGCTTTTTAAAGATAAACATTTAGTATCTCTTATAAGAGTTGACTAACATTCATGGTACAAAAGCAACTAAATGCTTTTAAATGTTTGGGGAAACAAAGCAAATCACACTGTCTGCTAATAAAATGAGCACTAAAGTTTAGGAGGATAGCTGTCTATTATTAGAAAACCTAGCAAGACTGTTACAGGAAGAGGAAAAACAGAAGAAAAATACAAGAAGAATAAAGTCTGGACTGAGTAGAGCATGACAAGAACATTAGAGTGGTTTGCCTCTAACACAGACCTTTTCTTTACTCTGTTGAAAAAAAAAAAAAAACGGTAAGAACGTGCATTATTTTCCCCTTAGGATCAAATCTGCGAAGCAAAACTTACCGTATTGAAATACTCCATGCCTGAGCTGCTGAACGCTTCTGCAATTTCTTTGGTTGTCACCACACAGGATACTGGATGACCGTTGCCCATAGGTTTCCCCATAGTGACGATGTCCGGAACGAAGTCTTCTCCGTGCATCTGGAAACTCCAGAAATGCCTCCCGACTCTGCCAAAGCCCACCTGAACTTCGTCAGCAATGAACACGCCCCCTGCTCTGCGAACGTGTCTGAAAAGCAAGGATCTGTGCTGATGCCCTTGGGCCACCGAGTGTCCCCAGAACTACCCGAAAAGACTACTGAAGTCAGAAAAAAAAAAAAAAAAAAGTTAACTTGAAGCCTCCATTTGTATTAAAAAGCATTCTAGGACTTGAAACCTCGTAGAGATGTCACAGGGTAATCACATGATTTCTAGATGAGATTTACCCCATGCTGCCTGGAGGTCTGCTGCTTAGAGTAAATTGTACTGTAACATTTCACCTGGGAAGAGAGCTGGACGGGTGGCTCTTACCAGGGTTGATTTTTACATGGTTACTGATTGGCAAGGTGTAGGGGTGGGACAAGAGACAGGATGCCCAGCAGAAGCTGGAGTACAGTTCTGGAGGCTGGACCATCAAGGGTTAAACCCTTTATTGGCTGGACAGGAAAGATCAGGGGATATCCCCCTTGAGTCCTGAGGTTGCAGACAGTCAGGGGCAGATTATTATTATTATTATTATTATTAATTTATTTTTTAACCAGCTAATCTGGAAGTATGACCTTATAGACTTGTCATAGTGCCCTCAGCTTGACCAAGGATACCCAAGTCAAGTACATACTCAGCCACTTTCTGGAAGTAGCCTGCTGGAGGAATAATTTGTCCACCACAACTCTGCATGGATTCAGCAATAAAGGCAGCAATCTATACAAGAGAAGATGGGGTCAAAATCCGTACACAGTAGCCTCCCCTCCTACCCCTGAGAAGGAGAACTTTGCATACAGCATGTTTTGTGTGCATGCCTGTCTCTGAACCACGTATATTCAGTGCCCAAGGAGGCTGGAAGAGGGCATTGGATCCACTGCCACTGAACTCACAGGTGGTTCTCAGCTGACATGTAGATGCTGGGAAGCAAACACTGTGAAAACAATTGCTCTTAACAGCTAAGCTATTTCTCCAGCCTCAAGAGCACGCCACTTTAAAGATTTACCTTTATTTTTAATTTTATGTGTGTGTGTGCCTCCCTCTGCACGTATGTGTCCATGTGTGAAGGCATGGACCCCTCGAGCTGGAGTTATAAATGATTGTGAGCCACCTGACATCGGTGCTGGGAGCCAATACTGCAAGAGCACCATTGTGTTTTTGACTGCTGAGCCATCTTCTCAGCCCTTAGAGTAGGTTTAAAATGGCTAGAAACAGACCCATGGTAAATGCTAAATGGGCTGTTAGTTAAAAATAAAAGCTATCTGTGCCAAAAGAGCACCAATCTAAATGAAGTCCTGGGATACCAGAAAAGCCACCGAGGGGAATGGAGGTTACAAGAAGGGGACTTCATAATTAACGAGCAATCTTTTTTGTCAGGTTGTGCTGTGTAAAAGTAATGGGTTGACGTTGGTGATATGAACCTCTGAAAATTGAACTAGGTTCAAAATACTTAACCTTGATGCCCATTCCCAAGTTAATGAAATAAGACTGCTTGAGCCTAGAGTCAGCCCACAGAAGTAGGTGGGCAGCTGTGGCAACACCTGAGGGCTACATTGCTGTACGTCTAGGTCTGGCATTGGAACATGCTTTCCTCAAAGGTAGGCATCTCAACAGAAACTATAGGAGAAACAAGCCAGAGACAATGGGAGAAGTTCAAAATGGCAATCATTGAAGGAAGAAGAGAAAGCTCAAGAAAGTCATGAGAAAAGCAATCTAGAGTCAAGTCTGGCTCCAGATTTCTTAGCACCTGCCTTAACCTGGGTTAAATTCGTCGCCTGAGAGTTATTTTGTGTCCTAGCTTTAAAATCCCACTGGACCTGGGATTCCTATTCTAATCTTCCATGACTTCGTAAGCACAACTGACATTTAGAAGCACATGCCCCATATTTATTTCTTCACAGCTTTCAGCATGGATAACATGGTGACATCAATCCCTAAACTGTTAAGTGTTGATAATGTTAAAAATAAAAAATCACCTGGACCATCCATTAGCAACAGAGTCCATACAATCTTGTTAAGGTAAAGAATATTTTCTGAAAGTACTATTTTACCATCTGAAACTACAGAAGGGAGGCTTCAAAAATCTTAAAACAGATTGAGCTTTAGGCTTATCTGCCCAGACATGTTATAGAGGACACAGAGGCAAAGCAGGGGGTGGAGTGGGAGTGGAAATAGGGGTAGGGCCTGGGAGAGACACTCTAGAAACAAGACTGGCTCTCCTGTCATGCAGGCAAAAAATTGTAATTTACTGGAAAAGGCAAATAGTTTTTATTTAATGAAGTATTTGTATTGTCACGCCTGTGCCACAACCAGTTTAAAGGCTGAGTGTTGTCAAGTTGCATTTAATCTGCACCTGAGTAACCCTGTGATGGGTGGAGACGAATCTGAGGACAGTAGAGTGAAGACTGAAAACATGAGCCTCTTTCCTGCTCATGATAATCAAGGCCCAGGTCGAAAGACTGTTTTTCTGCTGTCGCTTAATGAGAAGCTAATCCTCAGCCCTGTGCTTCCAGGAGGCCCAATAGCTCTGGGCAGCACCACAGCTCTCCTGAGGATTTGAGAGCTTTGACTGGTCCTGACACTGGAACCTCTCTGCCTCTTTGCTTCCCCTATGATACTCACAGTTGCAAGAGTCTGACTTCTGGACCAGACCCTGCACAGTACCTGAGAAACCAGCACTGAAGAAGTGTAGTGATTATATTTCTAAGATAAATACAAACTTACTATGACAATGTACTTTTGAAACAAACAAAAAAAAAAAGTGAAAATGTAATCAGCAAAGAACAGAAAGGAATTTCAGATTAAATCAGTTTTCTTCTCTGTAGAGATTTCCAACTGTTGTAACTATTTCCATAAAAGATTTTGAAAGTATTTCCTACAATGCCAACCTTTCTTCCATTGCTGTGAGCTTCTTCAATGATTTTTTTCACTTCGTCCGCATATGCTGTGGCTGGGTCTTCATGGTCCTCTCTATATTTCCCTCTGTACGTATCTGGAGCTGGAGCCTAAAACATCAGATGATACAGTTTCTCATTATTTGCCTCTTGGCCACACTTAGAAAACCAAGGGAACATCTATCCCCCTTTTCCCCACCCCACAGAGCATGTTGGATGGTAGTCCTGATGGCCCAAATATCCCCAGTGCCTTTTATCTTCCCATCCATTTTTGAATGCTCTGAAGACCTGTGAACTGTGAGCTGTAGCTCAGAAATGCCAGCCCCTCTAAATCAGCCTTCCTCCTTATTCACACAGAAAGCAAATTCAGAAGGGCAAGTACAATTATGTTATATAAAAATAACAAGTGAAGACTGCATTAATGACCATGTATAAAACAATCTCACACTATTAATTATATCACAGTTATGTCACTTAGGAAACTCAAATGCTTTAGAGCTTAAAGTCTTGCAATAAAGCAGTGAGGACTAAGTTAGCACAACCCTCAGTTAACACAACCATATGAAATGAATTTCATGGTTTCAACAACTTGCCTGGCTTCTGCATTTGATGTAATTCACATGATTTACATAATTATGTTTTATGTAAATCACTTTTGTCATACTCACAGGAACTCATTTAGCTCTGAGTATTGACCCAGTACTAGTGATTGGAAAAGCAACTGAAGATGAGTAGGCACAAGAATGAAATGATAGCTAAATGAAATGATAGTTAAAAACCGCCAGCTCTACCCACTAAACTCTCCTTCCACAGTTCTCACCTGGAGCCACATGCTCCCAGTGTGTGGCCCTCTGAGCTCAGCACCTCATATAACTGCTCTAAATCTTAGTTTCTTTCCCATGATTCCACTCTGCTGTGACGGTTGGGCTGGATTAAGATAGACATTCTTCTAGCCCCACCATTCAGATTATAGGACTCAGGGATATTTACCACATGTACAAATTCCTTCTTGACATCTGTACCCTTCTGAAACTTGTAAGGGCTTATCTCAATTAGTGACGACAGGTGACCATGGTAAGCACTGAAATGAGAAAGAAAAACTACACCAATAGTTCCGAGAAAGGTGTTTTTCCAGGATGTGAAAAAGCAGTGTTGTAGACCGTTCAGTATTAGTCGTCTGGGGAGAATTCAGTGCTGGTGCCACAGTGAGCCGTAAAACCAGATCTAGTCTTTTCATGAGAGCACTGGCATTTGATTTGTCTATTTCCCCTTACACATGTAATGAAGTACCTGAAGAGTCCCCACAGCTTTTATTACAGTAGGAAAAGCAAACGTTATTTCTTTGAATCGTATTGCCAAATCAGAATCTCTAAATGCGACCATTTTTATATATTCCTGCAATCCTGGGAGTTTTCTACGTTCTCAAACATTTCTTATATCGATTTATTGACTGTGTGTGCGCGCATGGGCAGCATGGCACACCTGCCAGGAGCTGGAGCTCTTCTTCCGCCATGTGGTTCCGGGGCATCAGACTCAGGTTGCCAGCTTGGCAAGCAAGTACCTGCTGAGCCATCTTAACAACCTAAATTTGCAAAAATTGGCCTCACATACTGCTCTGTCTGGCCTTAAATTCCTGGCCTCCCAGGATTCTTCTGCCTTAGCCGGGACTATAGGCATGTGCCACCAAGCCTGAATAGTAAAAGTCTGAAAAACAATTTTATAGACATGGGTTTCTGATTGGGGTGCTGTCTAAAGGATGCCATGGTGAAGACATTCAGTAAATACTAAGTTGTTCTGGAAGAAAAACTTGGACTGAGAGATGACTGAGTAGCTACAGAATTAAAATTCTTTTCTCTCACTTAACACATAAATGGTGATGATATTCCTCTTTCTATTTCTTGCCCAGAAATGTAATCAGCAGCTGTGGAGAGAAGTCTAAAAGGCCCATCCACAGATGATCCCAAATAGAGGTTCTTTGGCCTAGATTGTACAGGACACTACAAACCAGCAACAGAAAGGTGAGAATCCTAATTGAAAAAATGGTAAAGGATATGAAAAGACAACCCTAAGAGATGACAAAAGCGTAAAATTTATGTGAGAAGGTTCTCTGTTCGGCAATGCCAATTAAACAATGCAAATTAAAATATATTATACCCAACAGATTAACAGCAATTAGAAGAAAGCAAAAAGCTCATTAGTATTAAATTTGGTCAGGCTATGGCAGGGGCCCTTTGATGTGCTGTGTCTGGTGTTAGCCATCACACTGGAGACAAATTTGGCTGCACTGAGTTAAATTAGCAGCACCTTAGTATACTCTGCTGCCCATCCATCTTGTTTCTGGAATTTATCCCTGAGGGATCTTTAGAATGTCCTATGGAGGACTATGTAGAAGGATCTCTGCCTGTGCTAGGAACAGATGTAGTCAGTGCCTGTCCCTGGGGGGAATGTTGTACAGAGAGAACAACCCTGTAATCCAATATGGCAGCAACTCCCCACTTGGAGCTATAGGCATTTATTAGTCTCATCCGATAATGTCCAAACAGACGTGGAACTTCTGATACTCAGGGGAAAAGAAAAAGGAATGTAAGATATGTCAAAATATTTTATGTTGACTAAATATTGAAACGACAACTTGTTGGCTACCCCAAACCACTGGAACACTTAAAATCCCATATGTGGCTCACATTATGTTTCTACTGGTCAGAAGTGAGTCAGAGAAATGGAATAAATTTCAAGAATTCTGTGTGGGATGAAATATGAAAACAAAGAGATCTACAGTAACTTTGGTAAAGCAGATGCACATAAGACAATGCACATTTTACATGATATAAAAAGTAAAATGACATGAAAGTAAATTCAGAGTTGAGTCAGGAGGAAGAAAGGGATTAGCAGAAGTGGGAGGTACATAAGCCAGGACAATGGTGGTAAATACAATCAGAAAATGTTATGCATGTAGATGAAAATGTCAATTAAATCAATTCTTATATACAATTAATACATACTAGTTAAACATTTCAATTAGCATAAAAAGCATCTAAGTATTATAATATATTAAATATATTATTAAGTTGTCCATAGTCCATAAAATATATGCAGCAAATACATTATTATAGTTGTCCATAGGTGATGGAGGATGAGAATTTAAAAAGAAAATGCCCCACCTCAACTATGTATGTTTACTCCCTAACATTCAGAACCTAAGAATATGTTTCAGAGCAAAGGTGATTTTTTTTTTCACGTATATTAAATTAAGGACCATTCAGTAAAGGGATTATTCTGAAGTGCTTGGGTAGATCCAATATAGTCGTAAAAATGTCCTAAAAACAAGAGCAGGAGGCAGGAGCCTGATAAGGAAAGATGGAGGCGTGAGGAGAGAAGCAAAGGCTCTAGAAGGTGATGGCTGACTTTGAAGGTAAATTTCTTGTTGAAAATTAATAAAATCATGTTTGGGAGGTCAGAGTCAATGAATGTGACCATTCGTAGTCAAAAAGTACTAAGGTTTTAAATTTTCTAAAATTGCTATATTTAATATTAGTACAGTGGATAATTGCAACTGTGAAGCAAATGTTTGGATTTTAAAAATATGTTGTTATATATGTTGGAAACAACTGAGTTATGTACAGACAGCAGTAGGTACAAAGTGGAGTTACTGAGTAAGATGTCAGCCTAGATTCACATAAAGCCCACAAGGCTGCACCCGTCAAGGTACCCAGGAATGTCACCCCCATTTTCAGGTGCTTAGAAAGAGTGAATTAGCCACTGGATTTAAGCTAGACTTGACACCTTATTGTGTAATTTCGAAATACTGTTCCACATGTCCACCCTCTTCCGTTAAGTGCCTGTAGTCTTAGAACAGATGAGTTTGGTGTAGACTGATACACTTTTGGCTCTGAAGGGGCTTCTCCCTTAGAAACCTTGTGCTAAGACTTACTGGTCAAGAGTGATCACGTCTTGGTGGCCTCGGAACTGCCGTGCCAGGCGTAAGGCTAAGTCGTTGGCTTCAGATCTATAGATATGACACGGAGAGGGGACAAAGTGACAATCTCTTTTTGAAATGGTTCAGGGTTAGTTACAGAAACTGTAAGTTGACATGTATTCAGAAATGCATGATGTAGAATTGAGGCCCTCTTTCCCGCTCCACCTTGCCCCACCTAAATTGTCACTGTCACTTTCTAACACACAGGACATGGCTGTTAGGGAGAAAAACAAACAAACAAACAAACAAAAGAACGACAGCTGTGCTCCTTTGTTCACACAGCTACATCAGTGTTGACTAACTTTAGGCACACTAAGAAACCCACCTAACCCTATCTCAGGAGGGATGGCTGCCCTTTAACCTAGCTTCCAAATCATGTTGTATTGACTCAATACTTAGTTTCCTTATCTGTAAGATTAAGATCATATGTTTTTCTCCCTAGTTCAGAGAGTCTAAATCCACTCTCCTTAAGTGGAGACAGCAGCGACAGATCACTCTAGGGATCCTTGTGATGTGTTTGCCTATTTATTGTCATGGGGATGTTGCAAGGAAATTATTGCCATCTCCTCTTCTGTGGGCAAGATAGCAGCCTCAGAGAGGCTAAGCAAGATTTACAGTTAATTGGAGACTTAGCCTGGATTTAGACAGACTTTGAGACTACTATTTTTTTTTTTTTTTTTTTTGCAATAGGTATGTGATCATCCATTCTCTAAAGACAGGGCTGCTTTTAACTCATCCCTCTTTGGTAGAGTAGGATTCTCTAGAAATGAAAGTTACATGTTCTATTTCATGTCTCAAAGGCAAGAAGGATGATTTGTAACAATACGGGGAGGACCCTCAAATACCTCCTTAGTTCTATACAAAACAAAACAAAACAATGACACGCTCATTATAGGATACCTTGTGGAAAAGTGAGTCACAGAAAGTCATTCGAGCAGACATTATAGTTTTCTAAATATCAAATTCAACACATACATCACTTTAAAAATAGGAAAGCAGCACACAACTTTCCCCAAACATAACATCACACTTTCAGCTTCACACATCTTTGGGCATGCATTTGCAAATCACACTTTTCAATATCTGTACAGTTGTCCACAGAATGGATACATTGCCATTTGTGCTCATGGAATTTAAAAGTTGGAATGTATCTTCACTTGGATTTTTCTTGTGTTTGTGTTGGGAAAATACGCTCAATTTTTGTAGAAAAGCATGTCAGTAAGAATTTTTGTGAAACCACAGCTTGTATGGTGGAGTCATTTGTTTGCTGAAATCTGTATTTACGAGTTAAAAAAGGACTATGTGAGCTCTCTGTTTTCATTGCACACTTTACTGTGTGGTAAGATGGCAGGATCCCACCAGCCTCAGAGTCATGGAATAAAGTAGAAGATACAGAAAGGTTTGCTCCTAAATGAAGGCAACTTAGTGAGTGTTCAAGAATTTCCTTAAATCTTTCCACATACCCGGAGTTCGTAAAGTAGCAGACGGAGAGCTTCTGAGGCAGGGTGGCTGAAAGGCGCCTGGCAAACTCTACGATGTTGTCATGGAGGAAGCGAGAATTCGTATTTAGTAATTCCATCTGTTTCGCGGCGGCCTTGACCACTTGTGGGTGGCAGTGTCCCACTGAAACACAGCAGAGAAAGGAGTAAGTTACAATTCTAAGAGCGTTGGAGGAGAGGGAAGTTCTGAAGGGAAAGAAAAGGACTTGGGCTCCTTTCTCCCCACTTCTACCTAAGGGCAGAAGGTCAGAGGTCATGATGAACTGAGCTTGGGGCTCTTACCCTGCGCCACATTGTTAATGCAGTCCAAGTACCGTTTGCCTTTCTCGTCAAACATGTACTGCCCCTGGGCTCGTGTTATTTTGATGGGATCCGCAGCAAAGAAAACTTTGCACGAGGGCCTAGGAACAGACAAAGGAAATACTTTGGTTTGGTCAGACAGCTCCGTATTTTTCCTTCCCAATGGAGGGCAACTGTCAGTGGAAAATTACAATTTCATAAGGGAAAGGGAAAACACAGCCCTCGTGACCGCGTTATTTTTTCATTTTATATTAGCTTGGATTCCTTCATCTTAATCCAAGGTTAGTGTCACTGCTCACATTTCTATGTTAAACTTTTCACAGTTCCACAGCTCGGTTTAGAGTCACATGAATCAGTTTACTTAAAACTCATTTTCCCCCCTTTGGGAAGTTTTATTCTACTGGAAAAAAAAATGACTGCCCTTACATGGGGTTTCCGATATGTCAGAAACTGCTATATATTTTAATTAATATTCATGTATTTCCCCTCCTCCTCTCTCCAAATTACTTTATAAGAAAATTAATAGTTAACAATAACTAACTTAGAGGTTAGTTACAACAGGGATTTTCATGTATTTTGTGTAGCACTTGTCCTGTATTACCTTAATATCTCTCTCTCTCTCTCTCTCTCTATTTGGTTTTTCAAGACAGGGTTTCTCTGTGTAGCCTTGGCTAGGATGTCCTACACTCACTTTGTAGACCAAGCTGACCTCAAACTCACAGTAATCACCCTATCTCTGCCTCCCTGAGGGCTGGGATTACACCACACCCTGCTTACCCTAATATTTAAATTCAGTTCAAAATTCATTTAAGGAGTTCTTCGGTAAGCAAAATAAATTCCTGTTATTTTTGGTTATTTCCATGAACATTTACGGCATGAAATTTAGCAACACACAAATATTACCGAGGTTACTGATCTTGGCTCAATGGACGTTTAAGGCCCAAAACTAAAACAATGTGTATTTTTGTTTGTTTGTATTTTCATTTCTTGGATTTGTCTGTTTAGCCTTGGCTGTCCTAGAACTTGCTCTGTAGACCAGGCTGGATTCGAATTTACAGAGATCTGCTTACTGCTGCCTGGAGTACTGGGATTAAAGGCATGAGCTACCACTCCCTGGCTAAAGGTAGGCTTTTATTTTGCTGTTGTTGCATATATTAAAAAAAACTCTTCATACATTTCTAGAACAATGGTTCTCTACTTGTTTTTCCACTCCTTTGGGGCTGAACAACCCTTTTACAGAGGTCACATATCAGATACCATGTATCAGATATTTACATATTATTCATAACAGTAGTAAAATTGCAGTTATGAAGTAGCAATGAAAATAAGGTTATGGTTGGGGGTGACCGAAACATGAGGACCTGTGTTAAAGGGTCATAACATTAGGAAGGTTGAGAGATACTGCTCTAAGGGGTTTATGGAGATTTAATACTTATTTATTAAGGTGATACGTAACTATTTAGAAAGCGCTCTGATTCTTGAGAGCAGTGAGAGACCTCAAAGTTTAAAGAGACTTATGGCTTATGGTATAGGCTGATAAGAGGTTTTTGTGCAGTTTGAAGGATTGGCTCCCAGGACTTGTTACACAAGCATTCTACCAGAGAGCTATACCTATTTCCTAGTTTGTAGTTTTTAAGCCTTAGCTAAAAAACCAAAACAACACATTATGAGAATTTCTTGTTGGCTGAAACTCAACAGTTAGTTCGTAGCTACAAGTTAAGATCCACACAGCAAACCTGGGGTCTGACTGTCAGCTGCAGGCTACAGAGGGCTCCTTGACTTTTAAACATGCTGTCAACTTTGGCTACCAGACTTTCTCCCTCATCCCGAGGGTCCGTCCATACTACATCGCTCCCTTCACAAACATTGCCACTTTTCCCTCAAAAGTTACGTTTCCAAAGGAATCCAGTCAGTAAAGGTGGCGGTCAGTGGCGGGAGGAATTCGGGCCACTGTGAGAGAGGTCTTGGTCTCCTCAACCTTCTAGAACCTTCCTGGTGCACACGCGGACCTTCCAAACTAGAACCTGCTCAGCGTTTCTGTCTGTGCTGTTCTTTCCCTTATCCCTTGGACTGTGCACTGGTGACCGCACCAAGTACGCGCCCACTGTAGACAGCAGCTGCTCTTCAGGGTTAGGGCACAGTCATTTTTCCTGCAATGTTTATTCTGTCTTTTAAAAACCCAGACACAAACAAAATATTAACTCACTCATTCTTATTTGTTCCTAGGATGTTATTAATATGATTTGACAGGAGTGACATAGGTAACGTGATTCCTAAATAGGACCAGAGTTCAGGCAGTCTGTTATATACAGTGTTATATTACTAACACACCACACGGACCAAACAAACGCGAGGAGCGCACAGCATTTAAAAACCGACCTGAGAACACAGCTTGGGAGACCACAGCAAGGAAGTTTAACTGTCCCTGAAAACCCCTGCTTCTTACACAGCTGTTTATAAAGTTTTCCCACTAGCTCCTTAAACCCTCGATAGCCTCACCGGGAGGCACAAAAGGGAAAAAGTTCACTTTCAACAAAAGTCCGAATGAGTTTGTTCGGAGCCGTCATACAAATGATTTCTGGGTTCAGCTGTGGAGTTGATGGGCATAGAGGGCACGCTCCTCATCAATCTCCCGGTGCTCATTTCCCACGGCCGGACACTCTCTTGCGGGACACAGAGCCCAGGAGCCATCTCCTCCGGCCACAGGGCTTCCAGGTGCTCGCTGGTCCCCACAGGCAGCCGGTGGATGTGGCGGATGTGGCGCTCCATCTCTCCCACCCGGCTCCAGCTGTTTGCCCTCCGCCCCTTTCTGCCAGCGGCGCTTACCCGATGTGTTTTCCCCGCAGTGCCAGGGTGTCCTGCTTGCTGTACAGCTCACACATGGTGGTCTGTGTGCTTCCCTTCCGAGCCTTGGACACTAAAGATTTTTTTTTCCCCCTCCTAATGCCTCCTGCTTTAGGCGTTGCGGGTCACTGGTGGCTTTAACCATCTAGAGTCACTCCCTTTTTAAGTGTTGCCTGCCTTTGCCCTTCGCCAAGTCCCTCCCTCCAGCTCCCCTCCTCCACCTGGTGCCTGCTTCGCTAGTCAGCAGCCTGGGCCACCTCCACCCCCAGTCTGACTGGCTCCTGTCCCTCCTTTGTAGATATCCTCTGCCCCTCCCCATCTTGTAATTCCATTACCCACCTTTTGTTTTCCTAACTTTGCCTGGTCCTGCCTTTCTTCCATTTCTACCTAAAAATCCTCTCCTTCCCACTTTCTTTCTTTCTTTTCCTCCACTTATTCATTTATTCACTTTACATCCAGATCACAGCCCCCCTCGGCTGCCTCCCAGCAACCACCTCACACACCCTCCATCCTCCTTCCCACTTTCTTTTCAGTGCACTTCTATATGATCTCGTAACCCAAACTGGCCATTTACAGCACAGATGCGATAAGTCATGTACTCCCATGTCGCATGACTGGGACTCAGCCTGTGTCTCCGCTGGGGAGTGGTAGATCTGGTATTCGAAACATCCTCTCTTAGTTCCATATAGACACCTTCACTCTCTGAAGCAGACGGAGAAGACGCCAGGCGATTTCTTATTCTACAATTCTTAGCTTCCCAGTACTGAACAAGAAGCTCATTCTTGTTTTATTTATTTGTTTTCAAAAGTCCCATAGGATGGCTTTCTCATCCTGAAGGAATCTGAAGTTAAATACAGAGATGGACTGAGCCTTAAGAAAACCTGTGAGCCAGAAGTTACTCTTAGAGTCAGAGGTCACCTTGTGGGTTCTGATGATAAGAACTGAGAAGTTTTATGGGAGGAGCAAGCTTGCCCAAGGTTACACAGCTACTTAACCAGAGTCCAGACTGTGTAATCCCAGTTAACTCTGTTTTGGAAGGTCAGCAGAGAAAGCCTAACTTGCTTGTATCAATCCATCTAATAAATATTTGGATAAAGGTGTTCATTTATATTAAGGTTAACGACATATGTAGAGAAATGGAGTCCAGTGTCATAAAGGAAGGGCAGAGAGGGGCCAGGGTATTTGGATGAAATCCCACATGTCCTGGTCTAGTTCTGATAGCTGTTGCCAACTGGAGGCATACCCTTGCTCCACTCAGGCTGGGAGAAATCATGAATGGCCACGTGCTTTCTACAAACCACGTTCCTTGATAGTCTCCATACGTTAAACCATGTTCTTTACAAATCTCTGGGAGTTTTGAGTTCTACATCCAGTTCATCCATAAGCTAGTCGGGCTTCGTCATCTTTGGGGATCATGTTTCTTGGTATTAAAAATGATCTCTCTCGGCTTTAAAGTAATGCAAATAAATCTTAAATGCAGCCATGACTTGGTGTCTCGGAAGGAGACTCCCAAGCTCCTTCCTTTTCTGTTACTTTGCATCCTTTCGCAGTGACCCCATGATTCTCTTGGGTTTTGATGTCAGCAATGCGCCAAGTTTACAGCTCAGTGTCTGACCTCCTCCACCTTCCTTCACAGTCCTGGGCTCACCCGCTTCCTTTCCTGACATGTTCATATTAGATGTCTCCTAGAGACCTCAGTCTTAGCTAGTTCAAAATGAAAGCTTTGATCCACCTCTCTCTGGGTTGTTTTGACTCCCCAAACCATTGCTTTAAGTACTAGAGGTAGGACAATGAGCCAGACGAAGTAGCCCTACCCTAAACGGTCACTACCCTCAGCATCTCCCCCCCTCGAGAGGCTCTCTCACTCCAAGTGATTCCCCAGTTCTGGCCCTGCTTCGTGTAGGATTCAGGCATAGTCCCAGGTGGTTATGGATTGGTGTATGGTCTGTCTGAGCTGAGATTTGCTCCCAGGACACAGTTCACATTTATGCTCACCCATTAAAAAAAAAAAAAATAGCCTTTTAAATATGGCTATTGGCCTGTTTAAATTATAAATATAAGCTTGAATTGCTTTTCTATTAATCAACACTAGTGTCGATGGGCAGAGTGACAAATAAATAATAAATGATGTAACAATATAATAGTTTAAATTGCTTCAATTACGATAAGTGCCCCAAAGGAAAAAGACTAAGAATGTGTAGGAGTGCTCGAAAGTTCCATCTTACCCTCAATCCCATTCCTATATCAAGTTATTTTCAAGCCCTATGAACTCCATTTCAAATCACTCTGACCACTGCCACCCCTCAAAAGCTGTCTGCATCTCCGTCCATGACCTGCTTCCTCTTCCTGCATCCTGATGCTGTTGTCCTTTTTCTTACCCTTTGTCAGTTGAGGACTTTGCATTTGCTTCAGGTTTCGGTTTAAATGTCATAGAAAGCCTCACAAAGGTCATTCTTGATTACCAGAGCCAGCTTTCAACTAATTAAAAAACAAAACCCAAGGAATCCCTCTCCTCTTTCCCTGTGGTAACCTAGTCTCTTTCCTCATGATTGGTGTTGTTTACCAATGCACCCCACTAACACAATGCTTGCAACACAATTGGCTTTGATAACTGTGTTTTGACTGACTGAATGAATGAAATGGACACACATTTCAATTCTTATAAGATAAAAGCTGTTATGAGCCTCTGCTTGTATGTTGACCATTTCTTGACACTTAGATTCATTATCTGTTCTGAAGGGAAGCAACTGTTGTTTTAACAGATCATTTCTCCATTGTTTAACTTATTTCACAACACGGAATATATGATACTAAGTACAAAGGCCAGTCTTTAAATCAAGAGCTATCACAGAATGGCACCAGAATCAAGGTAGGTGAAAGGCAGGAGAATCTAACAAAACTTTACCGAAAAGAAGTTTATTGTTGGAGCATATTTTCTACTGTATTTGTCAAGAATGTATGTGATGGTACTCTTCCCCCTCAAGACTGGGGTTCACGTTATTTGGGTCTTGACTGTGTTGATTGACTCTCCCTATTTTTGAGGGAGTGCTGACCTGCCGGTCACAGATTTCTCAATAGTCTAGGCTTGGCTAAATCAATTATATGTGGTACCACTGGAAGGAGGGATAGTCCATACAAGCTGGAGACAATCAAAATTTCATTCAGTAATCTGAATGGCAGGTTAAAATTTTCTTCTTGGTAGAAATCTGCAAAGACAGGTGAACCATACGTGCAGAACAGCAGATTCTCAGGCCCGGCCCGTGACAGGAACCTCACATGGAATCTGAACATCTGATAGTTCCTTGCCCGTTTCCTTTTCCCTGCCCGGCCCTAACCTCCCTCGCTTGCACAAGGATGCACCTTTTTGAAAATTGCCCATCATCTTCAACACATGCTGGGTGTGTCAGGTGATTTCCTGACCTGACACACTTATCCAGAGGGTCTTTATGGTTCTGGGTAACACACTGCAATATGTGGGTGACGTGTCCAAGCTCTACCTGGCAGGCCAATGGAGGTCACCTTGTGACTATACAGCATCTATTTTCCTGGTCAGGAGGAGCTTGACAGACCAAAGCTGTGTGCCCCACCCCTGGGAGTCAAAGCAGCTGTAAAGGAGCCATTCAACCATCAGTAGCATGTATACCTAGTCTTCTCACTACTAGTTACTTTGTGTGTGTGTGTGTGTGTGTGTGTGTGTGTGTGTGTGTGTGTGTGTGT